CAGCATCCACAGGGACCCGGTAAACATTGGAACCGTGTCAAGCCAGGCTTGGAACCTGACAGTCATTATTTCTTCTTGAAAGGTTGTATCTTTTCAAATGGCTCTGGGAAAGGGCTTTTTTAAAAATCTTTTTCTTCTTCTTCTTCTTCTTCTTTTTTTTTTTTGATGTACTGCAGCACCATCTATATTAACACAACCATATTTATGTGGCATGTGATCTAATTTTTTGGAGGAGTATCTTTTGTTAATGGTGGGGTTTCTCAACCCTAGTAATATCTACATATTGGGCCAGGCAATTCTCTGTTGTGCGTGGGGTGTCCTTTGCATCTCAGGCTGTTTAGCAGCATCTATGACCTCTATTTACTAGGTAGGTGCCAACAGCCCCCCACCCCTAGTCCCTAGTTATGACAATTAAAAATATGTCTAGAAAATTTCAAATGAACCCCCCCCCCCCCCCCGGGACAAAATCTCCCCCATTGAGAACCACTGGTCTATCTACGTGCATTTATGTATACAAACAGAAATATTATTGGAATCAGGAAACTTTGCTGAAAATTTACTTGTACATTCTGTAGAATTTTGGGATGTGGTGATACCAGATTCTGAAAGACTCTCAAAATTCCTTGAGCACTGGCTTCTGAAAGTAAGATTCCCCCAATTTCTTTAGTTTTTTATTCTGTGTTCATCACTGGTTAAGTGCTAAGGGGGAAAAAAGAGAAAAAGAGAGAGTGAGGATTTTTTAAGGAAGCCCTGCAAGAGGAGGAACATGTGCAGCTTTAAGAGGCAGTGTTGTGTGTGGTTACATAAAGTCAGCAGCAAGCCCAAGAGGCTGCGAATGCAAACAGAGAAGCCTATGCATCATTATGCCATGGCCTCACACAGCTCAGAAAAGCAGACATGTTTCTTACAGAATGTCTCTGGCTCCCAACAACAGAATTGCAATGTGAGGTTCCTGCTAAAAATTTGATGACTCACCAGTGAGTAACACAGAAGGTGTTCCAGGGGTCTAACTGCTCTGCTGCCCCCGGCAGGCCCCAGGTCAGCAGGAGAAACCAGGAGAGCCCTGAGTTTCCTAAGTGGCTTTTCTTAAGGGCCAGTGTCTCCTGTAACCTGGGAGGCCCTGCCTCTCCTTCCCAGTGAAAATGCCAGTTTTCCAAGAGCCCAGTACTCGGTTAACATTCTGAGACCCTGTGTCACCCTAAATTGAGCTCACTGATGTTACATTTCACACCTGTTTAAGCTCTGTGGGACCTTAATGCATTTTTGTGATTCAAGGGAGACACCATTGAGCTGCAGTAATTCCACACAGGGAACTACTGTTTCTATGTCTTTCTTTTTCTTACTTAAAAATCAATGTGGGTTTATAAACAAAAGCCACACGCATATGGTTCTGAGCAGGATTGTCTTCATGCTATAAAGATCTAATATTGACTTTGTTCTATATTGAAGTCAGATTCATATATTAAAAAATATATACTTGAAACTTGTTATTGGGATATCATTAGTTAAAAATTCCAGAAGATGCCTTGAAGTTTACTGTCAAACTCTTTACAGAGAAAGTTCATGTAACAAATTAACAATGTATGAGAGATCAAAAACAAAATGCTTAAGACAACAGCACTTGTCTTAAAAAAAAACAACTAAACATGTTAAAAGCTCTTATTCACACATAAACAATTGTTGTGTTATTTATAAATGGAAAATTTTCTATTCATTAAAGCCATTTTTCAAAGACCTACATGAATTATTTAAGGGCAGAATAGTACATTCCATATATTCTATGTAATTAAAGTAAAACCACAGGTCTTAAATAGCATGAGTAACTCAGAGTGCCCTGTTTTAATTAACCCTAATTAGTGATTTTTTTTCTGTGTTTGGAAAAGATTCTCAGTGTTGCAATGTGAGAGTGTCAAAATAAAGAGGCTCCTGACTGATTTGCTTGGACCCCCACAGGAAGACAGTACCAGGGAGAGTCAGTAGGAGGGTTATCTTTAGGAACCTAGATCTGATATCTTCTTATTGGTCTAGAAAATTCATTTCATTAGCATTCCAAAAGGAGAATGAATGGAGGGGGATTGACTCCTCCTAAGTGAACTCACAAGTGACCATAAGCCACAACACCAACTTTCATAAGCCACAACACCAACTTTCAACTGTTAGTAGATCTAAATAGTTGGGTCAGTTAGTGCATTGCCCTTGAAAGAATATCTATATCAAAAGCTAAATTATAATAAGAAGATTGGTGTATCGGAGACCCAGTCAGGAAATTATATGCCATAGTCCTTTTAGGACTATGGCATTCTACCAAGAAGATTGGCATACCCGTTTATTACATCTATGCTCTTCAGTGATCTGAGAACCTGTAAAGTTCTTACTCACAGATGCTCCATTTATTTAGGTTACATGCTGATCTTCTGTTAATAAAGCCTTTCTTCAAACATGGTCCAGTGTAATTGATAAGCTCTTAGTTGTTCCATTCCAACATTCCACGGAAGCCGCTTGTGTGCTACTACGATGGAAAGTGTCCCTATATTTCATGTGTTGGCAACTTGGTCCCCAATGCAGTGGTGTGGAGAGGTGGGACTTTTGGGAGGTGACTGTGGCATGAGGGCTCTTCCCTCATGAATGGGTTAATTTATTCAGGGATTTGTAGGTTATTGTAGACATGGCTTTATGATAAAAGTGAACTCTCTGACTAGCTTGCTCTGTTTTGCCATGTGGTGCCTTGTACCACGTTAGGGTACAGCGAGAAGGTGTCACCAGCAGTCAGCACCGTGTTCCTGAACCTCCAGCCTCCAGAATCATTAGCTAAATAAACCGTTCTTCTTATAAGCTACCCAATCTGTGGTGTTCAGTTGTAGCAACAGAAAACAGACTAAGATATGCCCAAATCCCATTACCTACATGTACACAAAAATCCTTCTAGTTATTTCTACAACTGACTGATCTCGTCCATCATTTCTGTGTTCTTACATTCTGAGGCAGTCTTCTCTCATGTGTGTTAACGCCACTCACCGTGTCGGTAGTTCTTTCTTTTTTGCAGCAAAAGCATTATGAAATCCAAAAAGTCAGAACCTAATGTAAGAGAATATCTTATGTTCTTTCATAGTATTTATTTGCCACTGTTATCATCCTGGCCTGTTTCTCCCCATGTTTCATATTTCTGAGGATATAATTTAAAACAAACTTCCTTTTGCTTCTTTTGGAATGACCACTTCCTCTTCTTGAACCTCCTCCTTCTTCCTCATGTTCCTCAGCCTCTTCATTGAAATCCTTACCGTCTTCAGTATCATCTGTCAGTGTGCTTTTAACCTTGAGAAGCCACTCTTAGTTGCATGCGGTGTTCTACTGGGCCTGTTAAGGATTCTGTGGGCCTTGTTCAGGCCTTCTTGTCTCAGCTGTTTGCAGTCAGCAGTGTGGTTTCTGTGGCACCATCAGATGTTAGAGCCTTAGAGAATAGTGCTTCATTACCAGGTATATCTTAGCATAACACCTGGATTTTCTTATTAAGTTGCATGATATAGACCAGGACACAACACACCTCTGCCTGCCTGCATGCCTTCCTTCCTTCCTTCCTTTTTTCCTTCTCTCTCCTTTTAAAAATTGTATACACTTATGGTGTATCACATGATGTTTTAATATACATAAACATGGTGAAATTATTATTATCATCAAACAAATTAACATATCCATTATCTCATATAGTTACCTTTTATTTTTTGTGGGGGGAGGAGGTACCAGGGTTTGAACCCAGGAGCACTTAACTGATACCATGTGGTATTTTGTTTTCTTGTGTCTGGTTTATTTTACTTGGCATTATGACCCCTACGTTTATATCTGTTATCACAAATGTCAAGGTCTCCCCCCATTTTTTTTTAAAGTCTGAATAATATTCCATTGTTCAGTTCCTTGACTTATGATGGGATCACATTCTGTTAAACCTATTGTAAGTTGAAAATATTGTAGTTGAAATTGTGTTTAACATTCCTAACCTACCAAACATCATATCCTTAGCAATACAGTATACTATTAATCATTGGTTGTTGATTCTTGAGACCTTGTAGCTGACTTGGAGCTGAGGTTTTTTGGCATAGCAAGAGAGTATCATGCTGCAGATTGCTAGCCTATGAAAAGATCATTTTTTGGAGTGTGGTTTCTAATGAATGCATATTGATTTTACACATCATAAAGTCAAAAAAATTATAAGTCAAGCCATTATAAATGGGGGACCATCTGTCTCTCTTTATGTGTATTTATATATGTCTCACAGATTTCTTTGCCTTTTCATCCATCAATGGACAACTTATGTTGTCTCTATGCGATGACCATTGTGAATAGTACTTCAGTGAATGTGGGGCACAGATGTCTTTATGAGTGGAGATTTCATCTTCTTTGGTTCTGTGCCCAGAGGAGGGATTATTGGGCCACGTGATAGTTCTCTTTTTAGTTTTTTTTAGGAACATCCATATTGTGTTTCATAAGGGCTGCACTTACAGTCCCACCAACAGTGTGCGATGGTTCTTTTCTCTCTACACCCTCCCAACACTTATTGTCTCTTGTCTTCTTGAAAATACACATTCTAACGGTGTGATAGTTCATGGTGGTTTAGATTTGTATTTCCATGATGCTTAGTGATGTTGAGCACCTTTTCATATATTTGTTTCCTGTATGTATGTCTTTAATTTTGGATCTAGATGAAGCCTCATTTCTTCTCTGTATTTGGTTTATCAAATGGCCCAAACCCTTACTTTTCAATAGATTGAAGGAAACAAGCTATTGTGACTGTGAGTGCCATAAAGATGTGCCTGGATCCAATGCCACCCAGGAGTGTGTGTCTTGATAATAGTTTCCTCAAAGACTGTCAGGTCTAATCTGCTTTTTCTGGGTCTTGTGAAATAGACATCTTTAGAAACATGCAAATTCAAACACTATCTCCTGATTAAGTGGCGAGTTTAATAAGAAAGTTGATAAAAGTACATAACTTTATATCTTCTCAACAGAGAGATGGAGACCTTCCAACTTCAAAGAAAAAACGCCAGTCAGGAGAGAAGATCATGTATACTTTGGTCTCAGTCCCACATGGAAACGACATTGCATCTCTTTTTGAACTGGATGCCACAACTCTTCAGAGAGCTGACTGCTTGGTTCCGAGGTAAAAAAAAAAAAAAAAAGAATATATAGTTAAAAGATGTTTCTTTGAATAGTTTTAGGAGTAAGTAAGGAATGAAAATCATAATGTTAATATAATTTCTGTGATATCCAGAGCATAAGTGAAGAAAAAGTGTGTAAAATATTGTGCCTCTTTTGTGAGTAGATTAACATAGTTTATTTTATTCTTATAAATAATTAAAAGGTACAGGACCAATTGAGTTCTGAAAAATTCATAAGAATCATTTATTCCTATTACTTATATGGCCTTTGGTTACAAAAATGATAAATAATCTAAAAGCATTTCTAGGAATACTTTTATCATTTATTTTTATTATGTCAGGTTTCCCACTTCATTTGTTCATTTATTTAGTGATTCAGTCAACAATATTTAAGGAACATTGATTACATTCCAGGCATTGCCTTTAGCACTGAGAAGACAACAGTGAGCAAACTGGTTATATACTGACATTCAAATGGAAGAGACAAGCAGTAAATAAACCAGCAAACACAAAATATAGGGTCAGGTAATAACAATGCTTTGAAGAAAAATTGCAGAGTATAGAGAATTCTGTTAGATCAGAGTGTGCAGGAATGGCCCTTGAATCAAGGGATTGTGTCCACTCCATCTGGGAGGAGTGTTTCAAGCAGCAGGAAAAGGGAATGGAAGAATCTTGAAATTTACTAGGTGTTTTTAAGGACCAATGAGGAGGCAAGTAGAGTTGGACCTAAGTGGGTAAGGGGGGAGGGTGATGGGAAATGAGGCAGTCAGAACCTCATGTAAGAGAATATCTTATGTTCTTTTGCTTGAATTTGACTATTTCAGTTGACCTCTTTTGCCCACAACTCTCTTCCAACAGTAGCACCCTGATGCACTTGTTGGACACACTGTGTGCCGTCCACATTGTTGGGCTAGGGTGGGGTATCGCTCAGTTGGCCTTGATGGAGCAGTGTTATACTTAGGCCTTGGGTAGAGGTTAAGTGAATGAAGGTAACTATGCAAAGATGCAGGCGCTGTTGTATCAGGCCCTTTTGGGAAGGGTAAAATGTGGCTGTACTAATACTGCTGAGAAACACCACTGTGGAGTGTCCCAGGGTATGAGAATTCCATGGTATTCTCATTCATGAGGAATGTTGCTGAATCTTGACTTTATGTGAGTCCATCTCTCAGGCTTCCCTTTCTCCCATATGGTCTATAAAGAGATCCCCTATCAGGTCTGTCTCCTGCCTTGTCTTCCCAGAATTGGGATCTTAATTACTCCTTGGAATGACTTCACTCATTTTAGATTTTTTAGCAAAATTGGAGGGTTTTTTTTGGGGGGGGGGTACTTGGGAATGAACCCAAGGGTGTTTAACCACTGAACCACATCCCCAACTATTTTTTTTTAAACAAAATATTTTATTTAGAGACAGAGTCTTGCTGAGTTGCTTAACCTTGCTAAGTTGCTGATGTTGGCTTTGAACTTGTGGTCCTCTTGCCTCAGCCTCCCAAGCCTCTGGGATTACAGGTGCATGCCACCAGACTTGGCTTGAAAGTGGAGTCTTTCTTGAATGCCCGTCAAGAGAGTTTGTTCAAGGAAATGGTAAAGGATCTCACTGTTCAGATTACATCAAGGTCTACTGACAATAGATTTCTATGGCACAGGTCCTTAAGAGGTACTCAGTTCCAAAATCCTCTCAAGATGTAAGTTAACAGGCTGGAGTATATTCTCTTTTATTTGGAACCCAGAAATAAGAGTTAACTCGGTAAGTACATACAGGTTGAGCATCCCTAATATGAAAATCCAAAATTTGAAATATTTCCCAAACAGATACTTTTTGAATGCCAACATGATGCTACAGGTGGGAAATTCTACACCTGACCTTCTATGATAGGTTTTAGTGAAAATCTAGGTGCACCACAAATATTGTATAACGTTATCTTCAGGCTATATGTCTAAGGTATGTGTAAAACATCGATGAGTTTCATGTTTAAACTTGGGACCACCCCCAAGATGTCTCATTATGCTTATATTCTAAAATGGAAAAATCTAAAATATGAAACACTGTGGTTACAAGCATTTTGGATAAAGGGTACTCAACCTGTATTGAAGAAGTGCCAGGGTAAAATAGGGGAAAGAGCCACAGAGATATATAAGCTATGATCCACTTTCCCGATGCTTAAAATGCAAGGGAAGACCACTGAATACAAATGATATCTCCTGTGTAATTCAGTGCAGAAGATAAGTGGAAGACCAGAGACATTTCAAAAATTTTGGTTATTTAGAGAAGAATTGGATGCTTATGCTGGGCACAATGGTGCACACCTGTAATCCCAGCTACTCAAGAGGCTCAGGCAGGAGGATCACAAGTTGGAGGCCAGTCTCAGCAGCTTAGCAAGATCTTGCCTCATGATAAATTAAAAGGACTGGAGAAGCAGCTCAGTGTAAAGCACCCCTGGGTTTAATCTTCAGAATTGGATCCTTGTCATTTTAGATTTTTGCAACTCATTTTCTGTTTATTCTACTTGTGTGAATGCAGAACCATATTGTTGAATGAATCTCTTTCCCTGAGGTCACTGGTATTTTATTTATTTTCTCTTATTGGCCAAAATGTTTTACATCTTATGTTGTATGATATGTTTATGTTTAATCTTTATACTTAGCAACTCTAAGGCAGAAAACTTTATGGGATTTTCTTTTAATTAGTCCTATACACATATTTGTTAAAGAAATAATGGTAAGATTCAATAAAAATGGTAATATTTGAGCTGCATGAAGGTCTAAGTGTGATTTTCCAGGCACTTTCTCAATGGTCATATGCAGTGAATTTTTGTTATTCATGATTCATGGAATTAGCAAAATGAGCCATTAGCAGAATGAACCATTGTTCATAGGGGAAGTATAGGGTTATGTTCTGTTAGTTTCTGTCAGTACATAAACTGGTTTTGTGTTCATGTCTGTTTAAAGATACCTTATTGTCTATGAACTGTTGATTCATTAACATTGACCTCGTGGAAACAGGACTATAACTCAGGCCTACGTGAAGCTTATCTAGCACAAGAATTTTCTTCAGTCATATCATAGGAATGGTTGATAGCATTTCTAGAATGGGGGCCATTTTAAACACCAAAATCTCCAATAAGAAGCATGGAAATGGAAAAAAAAAATATGGCACTAAGTAGACTGCAAAAGGAACATGTATTTACAGTAGAGCTGGAACAAGGAGGCCAAATGTCACCTTGCTGGACCTCAGCTTGGAAATGTGCCTGTTGGATGACTCAAATGCTTTGTCACTCTGCACATGTCCTCAAATGACCACAAAAGCTCTATGATCTTGGGGTTACAAATAAATTTTAGTAAGTAGAATTTACAAGTACGGAATTCACAAATAACGGGGATCAACTGTACATACTTTCACATGCAGATGATTAAGCTACACAGGAGACAGCTGGCAGGAGCAGTTCTAATGGAGATGGTTACTTGATCAGTTTTCCTTTAGTGTGCATCAAAGTTGCCTGAGAAGCCTGTTGAACTACTCATTTTGGGGCCTTACCCCCAGAGTTTCTGATTTAATGGACTGGGGTAAGGTTTTAGAATTTACATTTCGGCTAAATTCCCTGGTGATGTTGATTCTGCTGATGTTGACACTTTGAGAGAACAACTGGCCTGGGTAATAATAGTATGCTTGCTTTGAAGTAGTCTAAATTCAGAATTTTTTCATAATCCAAATGTATCTTGATAGTCTAAGATATATTTATGTTCCTATCATATATGAAACTGTTAAATATGTCAACATGTTATATATTGACAAATATGTCAAATTTGTTATAGTATGTCTTTTATATTTTTTTCTTTTAGGAACTCATATGTTCGATTAAGACATTTATGCACCAACACATGGGTAACCAGTACTAGTATTCCTATAGACACAGATGAAGAACGACCTGTTATGTTGAAGGTAAATATTGCCAAGAATGGTTTAATTTTTTTTGTCAAATGTTGTGTTTGTAGGATTTAGAGGGTTTCTGACATATTCCTTAGAATCCACCTTCATCAACATTAGAGATTATTATAATTAATTTCATTGAGTTCTTATATCTGCCACTTGCTGAGGTAGCGGAACCTGTAGCAGGACTGTCAGTCAGGAGGCTGTAGTACAGATTCCAAAAAGAATGGGAACAATATTTGGGAAGAGGATATGATTTCAGGATTGCCTCTTCTGTGCTCTGTTGGAACTGAAGCAAAGGACAAGTGTGGAAGGGACAATTTTTTTGGTACTTTGGAATCAGGGCAGGGAATGGGCATGGAAATCACCGCATCCTTGCATTCTTTCCCAGAGAGTGATGCATGTGGGAGTTACTGTGTTTGGATTATCTATTCTTGCCTTATATTTCTTAAACAGTACTGATATATGTTAGTCTTTGAAGAATATTGCATAGTTATTTAGCAAAACTAATCTTAATGGAAAAACACATTCCAGATTGGAACCTGCCAAACAAAAGAGGATAAAGAAGCATTTGCCATTGTGTCTGTCCCACTGTCTGAGGTCCGAGACTTAGACTTTGCTAATGATGCAAACAAAGTGCTAGCAACCACGGTTAAAAAGCTGGAAAATGGCACCATAACTCAGAATGAAAGGAGGTTAGTAACTTTTAAAATGGCTTTTAATCATCAAGAATTAATTGTCAATTCTTGCTTTATACCTTCAGTGAATGAGTGACTCTAAGGGAATAATAGAATATTCTTGGTAGTCACACAATTCCTTCTGAATGAGGTGAGAACTTAATTTCTCTTGATCATAATGAGTGAATGAAAAGTAGTGATTTAAAATCTGATGGAGTATTTGCTTTTTCCTTGTCTTGAAAATAGTTGTTTGTAGTTATTCTTTTTTTTATAATTTTTTTTTAGTTGACGAGGACCTTTTATTTTATTCATTTATTTATATGCGGTGCTGAGAATCAAACCCAGTGCCTCACACGTGTGAGGCAAGCGCTCTACTACTGAGCCACAATCCCAGCCCTGTAGTTATTCTTTGATCTTTTCTTTTAAAGGCTTCATGATACCATTTGTTGCACTTGATTTGATATTTGGTCTTAGAGTTTAATGTCCTAAAGGAAGTTTTATGTTTTTCTGATCATTTTTAATTCATGACACATTTCTCAGCTCTAGTATTTCAAAATGAAAAAAAAAATGGAGTACTAGAAAAAAATCTGCAAGGCATAGCTTTCTGCCCTTTTAACTCATTCAGAGAAACTGGATCCTTGGTTCTCAAACTGGTTTTGGAAATAAGTGAGAGAGAGGATGAAAATGATAGCTAGAAATTATTGTATCTCTACTTTGAATCAGGTACTGTGTTAGGCATCACACATGTATTTTATTTGATCCTTCAAATGGTCCTGAGGTAGATATTCTCATTATATATAAAGGAGAATCGAGAGAGTGAGCAACTTGTATAAGGTCACATAAGTAATAAGTGGGGGCTTCAAATACATGTAATTTAAAGTCTGTGTGCTTTTCAGCACATCGGAACACAAATATCCTATTTTTCCCTCTTCATGATTTGCAACTTATCTTTTAATTTGAACAAGATAAAGGTGTTTACCAAGCCAAGGCATTCATGCATTAGAACTCTCAGACACAGCTGGTGAGATGATAACTGAGATAAGCACCTTGCAGAAACTAGTTAAGTTAAAGAAGTAAACATCCCGTGGCTTGCCAGTTTCACTCTTGGCTGAGTATTCTTGAACATCTGTCCAAAAGGATCTCCTCCATATGTGCCACAGAACACATGCTCAGGAATGTCCAGCCTTGTTCTAAATACTCCCAGACTGAACTCTGTCCACAAATCCATCACCCATTAAATAGATGATTAAAGTCATGATATATTCATACACTGGAATACAGTATAGCTGTGAAAATTAAAGAACTATATCTGTGTGCAATGCTGTGAATAAATCTAACAAACTTTAGATTGAGTGAAAATGAGACACAACAAATGCATTCGCTGTTACACTATTTGTAAGTTAAAAAACAAGATAAATAAATGCAACTTCTTTAGGGGTGTTTTGGCAATTGGAAGGCCTAAAAGACGTTCAAGAAAACCATTGTCACAAAATTCAGTTGGGGTTTCCTCTTAGAGGGGAGGCAGGAGTTGACTGGTGAGGGAAGGAAGGGTTCCTGTAGTTGTCTGTTGCTTGCTCTGGGTGGTAGTGTCATGTGGCTCACATTGTAAGTATCCCTTAACTAAACATATATGTTTTAGAGACTTTTAGGTATGTATCTTATAATACAAAGGAATAAAACACTAACTTGCTTCCCCCTGTCCGGCTCCTGTTGATAAAAAAAATCATAAATATGCAAACAAATGAAATAGCTGGTTCTCAGCTCTCTCTGTTCTTTCCTCTGCTTTTCCCCTGACAGACCTGCATTGGAAAACAACTGTCGTGTATTCAATTATATCTCTAACCCTGTTGGAGGAAATAAATAAAGGCCAGAAGCTGAAGCAACTGCCCCACTTTTATGGAAAACAGATAATTAAATATCAGAGCTCAATTATGACAGGAAATGGGTTCTAATGTGCAGATAGGAATTTTTATTTGCCTGAGATTTATCTAATTTCATTTGATGAATCCATTTCTGTCTCTGTCCTTTTCACATATGCATAGAAATTTACTAAGCCCCTCTTACAATTCTAAGCATGAAGGTATTCACTGAAGAGAAGGACAAATAAAGATTCCCATTATGAGTGCTCCACCATCACTGGATGCCACCAGGCTCAAGTTGCTCTTTCTCCAGTTACTGATGGAGGGGACCTTCTCACGAGATGTGTCCAAGGAAGGTGGTGGCCTAGTAGTGAGCAGAGATCATGCATTTTATTTCCTCTGCTTCTTTTATCACTGTTTTTAGAGTGAAAAAAATAGCAAAGAGAAGACTTTGCCTGAGAAATATGAAGTTGCAATTATTGATCTTAATTTAGTAATCTTAGAAAAGCCATTTCCCATCAAAATGCATTCAAAACTGCCTGTCAGCATAGTAGAGTTTATTGGCATAGTTGAATGCATCTATATTATTTTCTTAGTTTTGGAATTCAATATAAAACTCTTTCTGAAAATAACTGACAACCCTGACTTTTTCCCCCTATGGAGAATGAAGTTATTATTAGATGTTCTTTTTACTCAAAACGAGGAAGATGATACAAGGTCAAAGGGAGGGTGTGAGAATATTGCAGGTCTGTCTCAAAATGCCTGTGGTGTTGGAATTCTCTCTTTCTCCCTTGTATCCCTCCTTTTACTCAGCCCACGAAAGGACTCCAGAGGCACAGCTGCTGTGTTGTGCTCCAAGATGCTCAACCTTAGATAATTTTCAGTTGGATTTTTTGCTTGCATTTTACATAGTTGCACCAACGAAATAGAGGGTATTGGGAACATGTTGGAGGGGAGAGAAAGGAAATATGAAGGACTGTTGACTGCTGTGCAGACCTTGAGGAGGTGACATGTGCACTCCTTAACCAGAATTTCTGTAGTGCATTGTACATCTGAGAGAGCATGTTTTACCTGCATAGGGTTTGTATATAGCATCCATTGTTTACAGATGTAATTAATTCAGAATTATTTCTCCATGTATGCATGTATGGTGCTAATAGGTGCTGAAGGTCTTAGATTGTATGTGTCTCCACGCAACTTATAGACTTGAAGTCTGCCTCTTATTCCCCATAGTGAAGCTCAGGATCTAGAGAGGTCATCCAACAGGGGATCACCAGGTCAGATGTCTCTGAGGTTGCTTTCCACAGCACCATCATTTTTCACCAAATGTTATCTGCCTGATATTACTATTGCAACACCAGCTATCTTTTCTTTAATATTTACCTGGTGCCTCTTTTTCAGTGTCCCTTGATTTTAGATTTCCTGGTCATTTTGTTTTAGTTATGTGTCTTGTGAGCAGCAGAGACCTTGATTTTAAAAACTTAATCAAATAGTTTAATTACCTTGCATGTAATAAATAATGTCTTTGGGCTCATTCGTATTTTTTACTTAGGGTAGCTTTTCTTTTCCTTCCACTTCCTTTTTGCTTTCTGTTCAATGGATGAAGGTTATCTCTCCCTTCCCTTCCCTATCTTATCTTTTCCGCTACTGATTCAGAAGCTTGAGGTTGTACTTCTGTTTTTTGGCAAGAGCTCTGAAATTCTTTTTTCTAAATAACTTTATTTATTTTTATGGGGTGCTGAGGATTGAACCCAGTGCCTCACTTGTGCTAGGCAAGTGCTCTACCACTGAACCATAACCTCAGCCTTGAAATTCTTTTCTTTCCATTAAATTTTTTTTTAGTTGTAAATGGACATAATATCTTTTATGTATTTATTTTTATATGATGCTGGGGATGGAACCCTGTGCCTCTCACCCGTGAGACTAGCACTCTACCACTGAGCTATAGCCCTAGCCCCAAAATTCTTAATTATACATTTTCTTATATATCCTTTCTTATAAAGCTTGAAGTTATTAATACTTTTTTCTTCTTCTCATGGGAGAAAGTGCCTCAGCACTGCTTTGCTTATACACTGATAGTCTCCCTCCCATCGTTCATGAAGCATATGCCTAGAACCACAGTTCTGTGTTTATTCATTTGTAGTTTTATTTTATATTTGTTACATACAAAAGAACAAATGTGTCATATAAATTGTGATGCAAGATCCTTTTTTGGGGGGTACCAGGGATTGAACTCAGGGGCACTCAACCACTGAGCACATCCCCAGCTCTATTTTATATTTTATTTAGAAACAGGGTCTCACTGAGTTGCTTAGTGTCTTGCTTTTGCTGAGGCTGGCTTTGAACTCATGATCCTCCTGCCTCAGCCTCCTGAGCCGCTGGGATTACAGGCATGCACCACTGCACCCCCTGAACCGTCATTTTTACTGAGAAATTTAATTTCTAAAAGTTGTTTTCCAGTGATTAATTATCTCTCTCTGCTTGCTTTTAATTCTTGCATCTCACTTCTCTCTGGGCTCACTTGTTTTCAGTCCATTCAATAGAGCTCTTTGTTGGGTTATAATCTTTAGTCTTCACATATATAAAGATGTCTAAAATGTTTTTATATTGCCTCTACTCTTTTTCCCCCTCTTTCTCTCCCTCCCTCCCTCTCTCTTTCTTTCAGGCTGGGCATGGAACCTAGGGCTTCACATATACCAAGCAGGCATTGTGTCTCTGAACTACGCTCCCAGCCCCAAGTTTTGCCTCTACTCTTAAGTGACAATTTGTGTGTGAAATGTTAGAGTGACAAGTATTTTCTTATAGTATTTTATAGCTATAGTTTAATGATTTTCTGGAATCTTTTGTTGCTCTTAGGAAATATGCTGTCAATTGTTATCTCTGTTTTCTTGTTATCTTTACTGGTAATCTTTCTTTACTGTCTGGTAATTTTGTAGATTTTCTTCTCTGTCCCCAATGTCCTAATGTCTCACTATGTTTTCAAGGGGATGTTTTATTTCTGTTCTTTCCCCTTGACAGTTAGTTTAATCTGAATATGTATGTCTTCCTTTAATGTTAAGTTTTTTATCCACTTTCCTTCAAATATTGATTCTTTCCATTTTCCTCTTTTCTGTCAAAACACCTTAAATACATATAGTCTCCTCTTAATCATCTTCCTCAACTCCTAATTTAATCTTTTATAATTGCCTTTTTAAATCTCTCTATTCTATTTATATTCATTTTTATACTATCATATGATCATTAATTGTTCTTAGAATATGTGCAGTATAGTTTACCTTCATCAATTAGACTTTTACTTAAGTGATTTAAATTGTGATTTTTTAGATTTCTTTAGGTTCTTTGCATATATGCCCATTCTTCCTTCATACTAGCATTTTAAAATGTTATATAGTTTTGGTAGATACCTACTTTCTTTATCCATTGGAGGACCAAAAAATAATAATTATTTAAAAGTTATTTTGAAATTGTTCTGTTACTTGGTTTTATTGGTAATGAATTAGTCTCCTGATTCTTTAGCATGATGGTCGTCTTTCTTAATCGGTTTCTTTCATGTGTTTTGGAATTTCACTCTTTAGTCTCTTTTCAGGTGGGAGGTTTTTGCTTTTCCTCTCTATGTTCATTCATTTTCTCTATTAGCTTTGGATTTTGTCTCCCTGCTCCCACTAGCCCAGAGCTGGGTCTGGTATTGAGTGCTGAGATTTCAGGTCCTCTGGTGATCAGTGGTCATCGTGATCACAAGTGGCTAGCCCAAGTCCTATCATGTGCTTTTTGTTCCCTTCACTACCAGAGCCTAAAGGGACCACTGGATTTGGGGGGATATTTGAAGAGATAGATAACCCCAACTTTATTCCCTGCTTTTATGTCTTTAGTGTCATCTCTACCATGTGCTTTCAGTTCTGGCTACCTTGTGAGGGTTGAATGTTAGCCAGGCTCTTCACTTTGTTATTCTTATTTGATTTCTGATCCATGAAACTTCTTATTAATGTCTTCAGATGTGCTGTGTCATATACATATACATACACACACAAAGTATATATATACACACATGTGCACATACACATACACACACAACACACATATACATTATATACTTTATGTACATCATTATTGCTATACCTGACAGTCACACAGAAAAAGTTTTCTTCTAAATTATTTTTTAAGTTGTAGATGGACACAATATCTTTATTTATTTATTTTTATGTGGTGCTGAGGATTGAACCCAGTGCCTCACACATGCGAGGCAGGTACTGAACCACTGAGGTATAGCCCCAGCCCCAGAAAAAGTTTTTAATAAACAAAAATTAGTACAATTACATGAGTTAAAAAGATGTAATCACCCAATACAGAACTGGAGTATGAAAAGCAAACCAGTTTTTTTTTTGGCCATAGATGGGATGCTTGAGATGAAATATTAAAAAACACAGAAACAAAACCCAAACCAAACGAAAACCAAATATTCATATTTTCTGGCCTCCCTCGCTCCCTCATTGGGGAGGGCTCTGCAGCTTGGGCTTGTGTGCAGTGATATTCAGTCAGTACTTAATTTTCTTCATCATCATTCCATTAACCATCGGGAGGTTTCACGACATTTAGAAGACTTTGAAGCAGAGTGATATTAGTTGACCACAAATTGGGCTTTCTTAGTTATCTAAATAGAGAATTAGAAAGAGAAAATGAATATTGATAGTTTTAAAAAGAAAATAAATGCAAATATTTATGGTCCAGCTGGACTTATATTGAGCAGATCGCAACCTAGGTTTAACTAATCTCAGTTTGCTGAAGTAATCTGAGCTCAAAAAAATTGTTTTCTGTTTTATGAAGAACTGAATGACTTGGAAGACATTAAGTCATAATTCAAAAGAAGTTCACATCATATTTAATGCACATGTGTTTTTTTTTTTTTTATTTCTGTGGTTGCCTTCTGAGATGTCAGTGAATCCTATCAGCTAGACACATTTTCCAAAGAACTGAGTTAAAATTTAAAATTTGCCTCCTTAGTGTTAAGGAGGCATAGGATCCTTGGAGATGGGATCAGGATGTTTCCTGACGAAATATATTCTAACAGTTCTGTAATAGTTGAGACACTTGTAGTTTTATTATTAATATGATCATGATGTATCATGCTAATACTCGTGAATGATTATGCTACCAGTACATGGGGGATGCTAATTTAAATATTTTTTGTTTTACTATAAAAATCATATTTATAAACGAAATAACAAGTTTATTTCATCATCAATAACTTTCAAAATCTCTTTTAAAAATACAGAGTTCAAATAAGTTTACCAGTGTTTGTAATAATATGAAGCCTGGCTGCCTCCATCTACCTACCAACATAAAAAATTACAAAGAACAGGCAGAGGAAGGAGGGAGCAAAAAGTTAAGTAAGGAGGAATTTTCAAAACACTTTAGGGACTAAATGCCACTGAAGTTCACATAATAGTTATAATAATAACAACAGTAACCACAATATCAAGTTACAAGTGAACATTGGTGTTTGGTTTTAGAATACTATGGTTTTTATAGAACAGTTGATACTTTCACAACAGTGTCTAATTGCTTACTTGGTTTCTTTTCACAGGTTGTTTAAATTTTTCTCCTCCTCCTTCTCCTCCTCTCCTCCTCCTCCTCCTCCTCCTCCTCCTCCT